TTTAATCATCGTAGAAGGTATTGGTTATCAAAACAGAACACAAATATTTTTTTTTTTTTAAATTATTGGTGGGGGGGGGGGCAAACAGAGGGCAGACCCCGCTTGCCCCCACCCCCCTGTGGCCGCCACTGACCCAATTCAGAAGGTTTTCGTCAAAAGGGTGTAACTCCTCTCATAACCCCAATCCTTCAAACTAATTTGAAAAAAAATCTGTTATAAAATATAACCTTTACCGCGTTCACAATTTTATCGGAAAATGGGACATATCCTCGTATTTTTTGATCATTATAATTTCATCTAAATCGGATTCTACATCATCATAGTTACGTCACTCCAAAACCATGTGAGAAGGAGCGGACATCCAGTTTCATTCCGGGCGTGAACTTCTTGGCCACGTGTTGTGCTTTTTTTCTTGGTAGAATTGCTTCTTGATAGATAAGACACTGTCGGTCAAGTTGTATGAGTTCTACTGTTTCCTTCTACTATTTTTTTTGTAGTTGACACTACTGCTGTTTTTCGTTGTTTGCCACGCTTTGGATTAAAATTGTGGAAGGTCCACAAACATAGTTCATATTTCACATTTTGCGTTAGAAGGCAGGGGGCATAATTCCAGAACGGACAGTCCGATGGGCACCAAAATCGAACTAACAGAAATGTTTTGATTCTTAACACATTATATTGTGGCCTCTAGATGGTTCACAAACTCACCTAACATCGTTTAATTCTTAACACACAATTTTTAAAATTTCATTTTAATCGGCCGAAAATTGTGTCCTCTAGAGGGTTTACAAACTTTATATATATTTCACATTTTGCATAAAAGGGCAAGGGGCATAACTCTAGAACGGAAGGTCTGATGCGCACCAAAATCGTACTCGTTCTATATCGTTTGATTCTTAACATAATATATTTCAAGTTTCATCTAAATCGGAAAATAATCCAGGACGTTACGGTCTGATACCCGCCAATATCGAAAGGAACCGAGATCTGTGGGATACAATAGAGTGTCGCACGACCAGGGGTCATAATCCATGAAGATACGGTCTGTTACATCCTAAAAAAAGGATATCGTTTGATTCTTAACATAATATATTTCAAGTTTCATCTAAATCGGAAAATAATCCAGGACGTTACGGTCTGATACCCGCCAATATCGAAAGGAACCGAGATCTGTGGGATACAATAGAGTGTCGCACGACCAGGGGTCATAATCCATGAAGATACGGTCTGTTACATCCTAAAAAAAGGAACTGGTATCTTTGGGATATAAACATAATATATTTAAAAATTCGTCAAAATCGAAAAAAAAATTGAGACCTGTGACACACGGACGGTCGCACGGGCAGGCGAAAACATGAGCGCATAATATATAGCTTAAAACTAAAGAAAAACCTAGAAGGCGTTTAAAAGTCGCAAAGTGGCTGAAGTAGAGCACCAATAAATCCGCAGTCACAAACAATATACATTCTTACATTATTTTTAATCCTTATAACAATTTTAGCACATATCATATTACATATATAAGAAATACGGAGTAACTGTATATCATTATATTTTAGTGCAGTTAGATTAAACGTTCAGATAAAAATAAATACAAGCCAACTGTGCCGAGACATCAGAGGGGGTAGACTTGTTTTGATAAGCTTGAAATATCTCAAACTTTAGGCGACAAGAAAAAAACAGTCTAAAAATAAGTAGAATTTTTGAGGTTGTACCAGAGAAGAATATTTTAAAAAGAGCTGTATGTATGGAATTGCGTGGGTTTAATGCGTTTTACGGTGGCTATTCTCATACACAACTAGCCAAGAAATAGAAATAAGGAGAGAAATAAAGTCAAAACAAAAAAAAAGAGAAGGAGAACAAGATTCTTTCCTGTCAAATGTTGCATAGAATGCTCTAAACCAAACAAGTTTGTAAATTAGGAAGAAAAAAAAAAAGGGAAAAAAGGATTGGTGTGGGTGCATTAAATAGGAAATTTAACTCCACTTGTTATATTGTAGTTCGCGATGTCATCGAAATGAAAGCATCTCAGATTCCCATAGTCCTGGATATATAAAGAAAATCGGGGCCCCAACTTTTGATGAGTTTTTCAATCGATTAAAGAGTATACAAACTTTGGTTAGAGGGGTACCTAAACCGAATTCGGATGCTAATATCTTTAACAAAGCGCCTTTTAAGTCTCTAATTGTCATCTGGTGGATTTTTACTCTCTTGCAAACTATGATATTGTGGAAGTTGGGCCTCAAAGGGATGATCAGCCCACAAATGGTCCAGTTCCGATCAGTATTTATTTGAAGCGACGGTGACTAAGTGAGTAAGACGCTGGCTCGTTAGCCTGGAGGTCGCGTGTTCGATATTGAATTGGCCGAGAAAGTTCATAGGGATTTTCCGACGTGGTTTCCCTTTTGACAGTGTTGCAGGACGGAGGGCCTGACAAGAGCAGTTGTCTAGTCATTTGGATGGGACGAAAAACCGAGGTCCTGTGTATACATTGCCGTGCACGTAAAATATCCCTTGGCAGTTCGAATTCGATATAAGAGTAGGCCATAGTGCCGCAGACCGAGCAAAATTTCCCTCATAGCACACTGTATGGCGTATGTCCATCTCCATTAGCATTATCCCGGTAGGAACAGAACAGTAGGACGTTAAACCTCATTTCATTTCGTTTATTTCCGATCATTATTTACAAATTTACGATGAAATGAACATTTGTCAACATTCTGCATATTCTTCAAACGATTTAAACGGGACACGGACAAAACAAGTCAGAATCATAAACAACCTTCGCTAAAATCTTTTAAGCCCATTGAATCGCATACTCCTCGCAGTGTTTCGTTTGATTAGAGCTAATACCACTCAACACTGCTGTAATGGAAGCAAATTTCTGTTCCAAATTATGACTGGTCAATATTCCGATTAACAACCAATAGCTAACTGCGTAACCATATCATTACGCTTTAAACAGAGCTCCAAATTGGACCAAATATGTTTACACATAGAAATATAATATACTGTATATATTTCTATGGTTTACATAACGTTACGTCATGACTCACGATTTTATTAGGCCCAATTAACCAGTGCATAGCAGAATATTGCAGAAAAACAAATTGCGTGACAAACGTGGCTATCAATACGGATACAATGTAAACGATACTGTTTGGAGACGAACACTACTTTCACCGTTTTTATACGCCCACATTTTCATGTGGACGTATATTGTCGTCGACCCTGTCCGTCCGTCCACAATTGTTTGTGAATAGTCTACAGGTCACAATTTTTATCCGATTTCAACGAAACTTGAAATATATAGGTCTATCTTCCTAAGATCTCAGTTCCTTTCGATATTGGCATATATCGGACCGTAACTTCATGGATTATGGCTCCTAATTGTACGAAAAATCGCGTTTTTAGCTTGTGAACCCTATAGAGGTCACAATTTTTATCTGATTTTGTTGAAATTTGAAATGTAAGTTTATAACCTAAAGATCTTTGTTCCTTTCGATATTCGCACATATCGTACCGTAACTTCCTGAATTATGGCCCCTGAGTGTACGAAAAATCACGTTTTTTTAGCTTGTCGACCCTGGTTGAGTTCGAATTTCGTGAAAATCGGACCAAACCTGCCGGACAAAATGGCCGCTCCTCGTGCGCAAATAGTGTAAACATCTGGTATATCAAAGTTGTGGGCCCTCTAGAGGTCACAATTTTTATCTGATATCTTTATACCCCAAAGATCCCAGTCCCTTTTGATATTTGCGCATTTCAGATCATAACCTTCTGGAGTATTGCCCCTGATTGTAGAAAAAATCGCATTTGTTTTTAGCTTGTTCTCTATCCATCTCGTGGAAGATGTGGGCGTATCCTGCCTGGCAGCCGCTGGTTAATTCCTTAAATCACTGTCCAAACTTTTAGGGAAGACCCCAGATTAAACGAAGGGATGTCATGTTGCTGTACTTGGGATAGATCTGATTGAACAGGAAGAATAGACACACTCCCTCAAAAGCTCAAGTATCGAAAGCCAATTCAGCAATGGCCAGAGAGGGATTTCTCGGGCCATTGCTTCAGGAATATGATTGAATCGAGGTCGGAAAATTGTGTACCGTTGATAATCTGATTTTGTTTTCTTAATTAAATTGTAAATAACGAATCTGAGTACTTAAATCGTGACAAATTAGATATTGTCCGAAACGAATGTAAATGTCAACAGCAGCTTTAAATTGTTCACAAGAAACTTACTTTTAATACACGTGCACATCTTTACTTTTCTGCACCAACCAGGCCATGGGCGTGACCAGGAATTTGAACAGAGAGGTCCGAGGTGGGGACAACGTCAGATTTGGTGTGATATCTGGCAGATTACCCGATAATTTTATCAAATCAGAAGCCCTGGCACAATATTTCTGCTCATTAAGGTGCATATAGGTATGTGGACGCTATTTCGATAAGTGTAAAAGAAAGAAATATGCTCTGGAAACGCGCCCACAGGCCATTCAAACGGGGAACACGCTCTGCAGCGTGCTATGAAATTTGGTCTACTATTGTTTATATTTCTTGTCAGACCTTTCTGTCCTTCATCGCCAGCACTGGCGATCGTCGAATTCGGGAATGAATAAAAAAAACAAACAAACAAAAAAAAAAACAACAACAAACCAACCAAAACAATCAAAAACAAAAACAAAGCTGCTTTCTACATTATGTCAAAATGAGAAGACAATAATATTATTTATATAGAAGATAATATGTGATGATGTATTTAGATGTTGGTATATAGTGACACATAATACATTTTCTCTACATAACGGAAATGATTATTTTGTGTTTCTTGAATAAGTTCACAAATGTAAATCATGAAAAAGATCTGTTAGAATTATTTTCAGTGGAAGAAAGTGTCACTCTTAAACCAAAAAGGGATATTTGTTGATTAAAGTAAATAAAATATAATTCAGGCAAAAAGTATCGTAATCAATAGTAAAAATACAAAATAATAATAAAAATAATGGTAGTAGTATTATCTTTATTCACTTGAGTGGCCACGGGCCTATGAAAATGTGTAGTAAGCTCTTATCAGGAGAAGAGTAGAAAACGATCGCGTATAACAGATTTCTTTTTATATCGTGCACGTTATGAGGAAGGGTCGGGTGAGAGAGAACGGGAGAGAAATGGGGTTCAACGCCCACTTGACAGAAACTATTTCATTTCGGGACTGACATTAGCTTGCTCGTAGGGGTCTTTAGCAATGGGAGAAACAATGTGATCTGTTTTTGATAATCGAGGCTACAATATTACGGATTGGGGGAAGTGTCATATAATTTTGAAATGTCATGAGATAGCCCGGGAACGTGGGCAGTTTCAATCAACTAATACGACGTGTCGTGATTCGCAGGTTAGACTGGCGACTTTATTCCTTGTCACGTACAAGGGTGGGATCAAAACCACGCCACTTGACTCAGTGACAAACCTTATGATCTAATGCCCTAATGCTCACCCGTTAGACGATTCGGCCACCTAACTCCCCAGGGGCAGTGGAAGCAAGGCGAACATATCAGAACAATATGCGCTCATATTATCGAACACAACACACAGGTAAAATTCAGATTATGTTGTGTGGGTTTTTAAGTTTGGGTTTTTTGAGGCAGCATATATACAAGTAGATTGTGGAATAAGCTATTTTTTTTCATTTGGTTTTTTTTTTGGTTTTTTTGTTATCAAAAATAAGATTTAGCCTATCATTCTGTGATAACAAATGACGGCAAACATACAGCTGGCAATCTTAGATAATGATAGGAATGGGATTGGTAAAGAAATGTTGGTATAGTCCTAAGATGTCTCCACCCAAAATATTCAAGCATAATTCCTGGTCTACTTATTTATATTATTCATTTCCGTTGTATATCTTACAGGTGTGACAGTAATGGAAATAAAATGAATGAGTTTATGCAAGTTGAGATAATATTGTATTAAATCATATATGATGACAGTCTTTTCAACCTCATAAGTTATAAGCTCCCAACAAGTTAGCGGTAGAGATTGTCTCATGCGAATAATATGTTGTTTATTTCATGTATCACTCTACATTTAAAATTTCATTTCCTAATTAGATAATATAAAGTTGTTGTAATCGGGCAATGACATACCTTGAAAATTTTACTTTTAAATCGAATACAGATCATATAATAACTGTAATAACAAATCTGACTGTCGACTATAAAATGTTCAGGCATCGAGCTCTGGCGAGGGCCGAGGTGAATATTTTGGATGTTTCAAGACTAATTCTCACTTGTCTGTACATAGAATCAAAATTACGAATGATTGTATTCTTGTGTTGCAGTTAAATCTTAAATCTATAATTCTTAAGTTAATGGAATCCCATTCAAACAGGAATCTTATATTCAGTATACTAAAGAATTAAATTTGTTGACAGAGAGGTCGAACCTAACTATAATATAGATATTATCATTCGGGGAACGGGTAATCCGGAGAAACACCCGAGGTTAGACAGGTGACTCTCTGTGCTGTACAGGAGGGAATCGAATGTAAGTTCAGTATGATATATCTGTTATCCCAATGATTCGCACATGTTTTCAGCAATGGAAGGAGAAACCCCAAAATTAGGCAGGCGACCCTACTCATTGTGCCGTACAGACACATTGCTTATGTTTAAGCGACGAGGATGTCTATTTATTTGGAGTTATTGCCTTTAATCAAAACCCTGTGAAGCAGTTCGACTGAAATTTTCAGCCTATTCTCCTTTCATTATCTATTTTTAACTATTATAGCAAGAACTGTCAGCTCTTTATCTAATCTTACCTAATGTCCCTTTAAGAATAAAAATTCTTAACAACCGAAGAGATGACTGCGACCAACAAGCAATTTTATGTAGTTCAATTAATAAAACAATAACAATCATGGCCCTTATTGTTTTCTATAGAGATGGACATTCATTAAGTTTGACTGCTATATGACGCTTTACAAGAACAACTTGATGAAAATAACCATGCATACAAAAAGTACAAAACAATCTATATATAGGTCTACATTCGACAATAAAAAATACGGATATCACATGTAGGCCTACAATTATGGCATTAGATACCGAAGTAAATCACACGAAATAAAGTTCGTAAGACAAAAACGTGTGTATTAAATTTGATAACAACTCATGTAGGCACAGTTTCTGTTATAGTCGGAAATAAAAATTACGCAATTAACATCCAATTCATCAAAATTTGGCTGACGTCAAATTTATCCATTTAAATTTGGCTGACGTCACAATCGTCTGTTTAAAGTTTGCCTGACGTTTTAATTGTTACCTGAAAGTATGAAACAAAATACATAAATAAATCATGGCTTTCTACAGACAAAAGGCGGGCTAGGCATATCTTTCTGGGATTATGAAAAACGTTGCAGGCTTTAGCTCGAAAGGGGATCTCTTCATTATTTATATTAAAGATACATAATGGGAGATTCGATAACGAGTTGGCAGTTCTCACTATAATAGTTAAAGATGGATTGCCAGGCAACGAAACATACGCCCACAGCAGCTAAATCGTCCGGTCAGTCAACAAGAGCTGTCGCATATTTTTAATTTTTTGGGTAATAAAACATTTATAATATACTAAAATCTGATTAAGAGCAACAACTCATGAAGTAATTATTAGAAAACCATTAGAATTTGTTTGTTTTTTTTATAAAGTTCTGACCCATGCTAACGTTTTGTATACAAAACTTTTAATATCATGGATTTAGCTGTTCAGTCATAAAAATTCATTGAAAATCAATATACTTGTTCGTCTCAAGATCTTAAACTTTGTGTATCAATCTGAAGTCAATCGGATGATAACTTTAGCCTTTAGAGCGTCACAAAGTGATCAAGGGCCATAACTTTGGCAGTAATTATCGGAAATAGTTGATAATCAATAGGATTCTTCGTCTCATGACCTTAAACATTGTGTATAAATTTAAGGTCAATCGGATATTAACTTTGGCCTCTAGAGCGTCCACAAGATTTCTTGAAGTGATCAAGGGCCATAACTCTGGCAGTAATTATCGGAAATCGTTGAAAATCAATAGGTTTCTTCGTCTCATGACCTTAAACACTGTGTATAAATTTAAAGTCAATCGGATATTAACTTTGGCCTCTAGAGCGTCCACAAGATTTTTCAAAGTGATCAAGGGCCATAACTCTGGCAGTAATTATCGGAAATCGCTGAAAAACAATAGGCTTCTTCGTCTCATAACCTCAAACATTGTGTATAAATTTAAAGTCAATCGGATATTAACTTTAGCCTCTAGAGCGTCCACAAGCAATTGTGGACGCCGGACCGACGGACGGACGGACGGGGGCGACGACAATATACGACCACATTTCAATGTGGGCGTATAAAAACTAGATAATGTAAAGGCAATTTGCTGAAAATTTCATTCAAATTCACCCACTATGAACCGAGAACTAAGCGATTGAAATTGCCCCCTAGCCTCGATCATCATTACTAAGGTCAGTACGGTAAACAGCATAGTCTCGATTATCCATTTAATCATTAAATCGTGAAGGAAAGTTATGCAGTAAATCGGCTCATAATCCACTAAAGATAGCAGGCTAGCGATGCCATCTAGAGTTGATTATGGTCTGGATAGGTTAATTAATGTCTAATTAATAATTTAGATAACATTTCAGGCCTAAAGAAAGACCTGCAATAGACAGATTTAGCTCTTGCATAATGCATGTTTAAATGTTTTAGCTGGCCAGCGAACAATCGCAGTATAACTCTAAAAAACCCTATAAGATCAGATCAGATCACTGGTTGGTTGTAGTCTTCACGGATAAAATGACCCCTTCACTTTAACAGTCGATGTGCTAAAGAGAAGGTCGCGCTATAAAGGGAGGTAAATCATTTATTGAAACGGATTTCTCCACAGACACTTTTCGACATATACATTGCCAACACGTTTATGACTTTAAATTAATTTAGCCAATTGTATTTCAATAAAATTTAACCTTACCGTCTTAGTTTCAGTGTAAGCATTAATGGAGTCCTCCCCTCTGAAAAATACGACCTCAATTAGTGGTCCTTTAAAATAAGATAAAGCAATTTGCCTTCTCAGAGGTAACATTTGTGACGATAACAAGCGTCTAGTCGTTCGAACGACCAAGGCACGTAAATACAGTTAAAATTAAATTGCTTCCCGGACAAAATTCTCCATCGTACCGTATAATGTAATTATGGAAAAAATTCGATGTTAGTGTACATTTCATACATTTTCATACTTGTCTATAGTCATGGAAAATTTTACTCACAATTCTCGACCAATACCAGATTCTTTGAATCCACCAAACGGAGTTTGTGACGTCAGGAAATTATACCAATTAACCCTTTAAAATAATAGCATCCCACAATAATTAATTTTCTATAAATAAATAAGAAAAACAATTAAAAAAAACAGTCCGATATTAACAATAAATAATAGACTCAGGTTGATAATTACCTTAACACAATGATAAAAGACATGAAAACCGGGATCCATCTACAGTTAACCGATGCGGAACCAAACCAAGTACCGAATCAAACCGCGACATCGGTTTCTACTTACGAGAAAGATTGAATTATAAATACCACGATCTGTGTCAATGACACCTTAAAAAACAAAGTCGATTAAAATGAATGTTAAATATAATGATTACATACCATACAGTACCAGCTTTAACTCTACTGGTAAACTGTAAAGCTTTATCTATACTTCCAGTTAATATTCCAGCCGCTAAACCATAGCATGATTCATTGGCCTTCTTTATTACCTCTTCCATTGTACTAAACTTCATTAGAGTTTGAACTGGTCCGAAAATCTAATAAACCAAGCAAAAAGCATACATCATATTTTCTCAGTTCTCTATCCGATATCAATGGCATGTTAGTGGACCCCCACATGCAACTAATGGGACTGGCCATAGTGTGATTTGCGTTTCTTTCAGTCAAATGTCATTCATAGATTGTATTGATGATTTCTTAAATTTAATTCAATTTTACCCATTGAGGTGAGTGGCTCTACCGTCAAGGTACGAGAATTCTTCATATTAACACGGAATGGCGATGAAATCACTGTCGAAAATGTAAATTGGACCACGGATGGAAGTTACGACAGGAGTCCTTTGTTGTCTCAATGAAATGAAATGGGGTTTAACGTCCTACTGTTCTGCTCCTAAACTGGGCTAATGAAGACGGGCATACGCCATACTGTGTGCTATGAGGAAAATTTTGTCCGGGCAGCGGCGCTACGGCCTACTCTTATATCGAATTCCAACTGCCAATGGATCTTTTACGTGCACTCCAATGTGTACACGGGACCTCGGTTTTTCGTCCCATCCGAACGACCAGACAGCTGTCCTTGTCAGGCCCTCCGTCCGGTATCACTGACAAGGGGGAAACCACGCCGGAAAATCTGGATGAACTTTCTCGGCCAATGCAGGGATCGAACACCCGACCTCCAGGCTAGCGAGCCAGCGTCTTACCCACTTAGCCATGTGACCCCCTTGTCTCAATGAACTACGGTAATATTATGTCTTTAGAGTATGTCCAAATATTTTCTTCAATTAATCTTTGACCATTGGTCGAAACTATTCGTTCATGGGTTATTACTAGCTGAGGTGGGACTATTTGAAAACCTAGCTTACATTATGATGACGCATGTACAAATCTTTCAGATGACTGGAGATGTAACCAGAAGTGAAATCATTGAATGCCAGGCAAACACACGTTGCTCGTATCCTAAGGAAAAGTTGTTAGAATTTTTATGTTTGTGAAATAACGGCGATATCAAATTGTTTCTCTTAACTTAAAATTATTATAAACCAGAAAACCTACACTTTGTAAACGTCCCTGTCAGATAAATGAGAGTTATCAAGGGCAGCGATTCTATAAGATGTAATTGTTAAAAAAAAATCGCGTAAATTTGACATGTTTCTACGTATCGATAATTTACACTATGCATAACAATTTCGAATGATTGTTTTTGCCAATAGAGCGTTCTCAAGACCCTATTAAGCGGCCAAGAACAATACCAATAGCTTATACAAAATACAAATAGATCGGATGTTAAATGTTGTGCAACAAACCGTGGATGCATTGACAGACAGTGAAGATAAGATACAGCTATGTTACAATATAACGTACTTCTTCTCGACATATCCGCATATTTTCTGTAACATTAGAGAATACTGTAGGTTCTATAAAATATCCAGTAGTTCCATGTCTTTTTCCACCACATTCTAATACGGCACCTTCTTCTTTACCACTTTCTACCAGATTTAAAATTTTATCAAACTGAACTGAATCGATCTAGAAACAACAAATACAATAACGTGCTCAGTTTTGTGGACTAAAGGACAAAGGTATGGGGTTCCCTGGGTAAATATAAGGTTTTATTTCACCGAGCTCGTAAGGTGGATGTGGTCCATGTTCATGGGTCGCTGAACCGAGTCCTAAATTCCCCAAAGCTGTGTTTAACAAGCAACGGCTGATTAATAAAGACCCAACCAGAATCTTTAACGATAAAATTTTAAAATTTTCAATATCTGTCAACATCACTTCAAAATGTATCTCTGGAAATTGTTCAATTGTATAACTACCTGTGGCCCCATTTCTACGTCATCATTAAATGGGTCACCAACAGTCCTATTTCTTGCTCTCTCCACTGTCTTCTTAACAAATTCATCATAAATAGCTTCATGAACATAGGTTCTCGAACCAGCAGCACAACACTGACCAGCAGCAAAATAAACAGCTTCGTGTGCTATCTCTACTGCTTTATCAACTGAAAGGAATCATCAAAGACAGGATGTCAGCCATAACTCTGGCAGCCAGCAATTATCGGAAATCACTGAAAATCAATAGGCGTCTTGGTCTCTTGACCATAAACAATGTGTATAATTTCAAATCGGACATCGCTGAAAATCAACAGGATTCTTCTTCTCATGACCATAAACAATGCGTATCAGTTTTAAGTCAATCGGCATCCCAAACTTAGGCTGCCTATCTACAGCTAGCTCCGGCTGAGAATAGGCCCTAAGCTAATTAACCGACATTTAAATTCCTACATCGACGATTTTAGTCGAAAACACTGAGTATGCTTTTAGAAAATTTTAAAAGTATTTATTTCTCTTCTATTGTCATATTGAATGAAATTAAATATGTTTATTTAGCCGCTGTGTGTATGAAAGATGTCAAACTAATCAAAGCCGAATCACAAAATAGTCCTCTAATTATTCAATATGGCGGCGCCCATGAAACATAATTTCACAGAGGCGGTTTTGTTTGCGAAAATAAATTTAGGAGTATCTAACCTTGTTTTGAAAGATAAACAGATTGAAAATCTAAAGACAGTTTACAATGGTAAAGAGTTTATTGCAATATTACCCATAGCACATATTATATATCGCTTTTACGTTAGTGTCAGCAACATGCCATGTTTACATAAAACACACGTGCGTGGGTTATTTTTACTTTGTTGTCTAAACAAAGCGGTGTCGAATCGATAAGTCCCGCTCCAAAATGATCACATGATCGTTTTAAATGGCGGATAATCAGTGCAGTGTCACATTCTGGGAAGTATGACGTAGATGGGTCGCTGCGTGCAGTATGGTCAATCGGTTATTAACTTTAGCCTTTCTCGCAATTCAATATACTAATATTCTCAGACTAAACAGAACTGGTTATTCGGCGAATCTTCAAGTAAATACGATAGTTGTCCTTTACTTGAAAGTCTTCACTCTGTGCAATAGTCCCTGGGACTTTTTATAATCCGTATTTGATGATCGAGGCTACAATATTACGGATTGGGGGAAGGGTATATAATTTTGAAATGTCAGGAGATAGCCCGGGCAATTTGAATCAACAAATACGACGTGTCGTGATTCGCAGAAATACAATCTTGAAGATCATGGCAGTATAGAGGCTAGTTATTCCTCTCTAGGCAACACACATTTATTTCAAAATTCTATTAAATAGCTCAAACTGACAAGTAAGATAATTGTAAATTTGAGACCGGATCAAAATAAACCAATCTCTATGGATTCTTAAACAAATCATAATATATAAGTATTGATATGAACTTACTATCTTCAACATCATCAAATACAACTATCGGGCTTTTACCACCCAATTCTAATGTTACACGTTTCATTGTTTCCGCTGCCGTCTTCATTATTAATTTTCCTGTCTGTAAACAGATATTCTAAAATACTATACATGATTAACATTATTAAGAATGCTTCACTAGTAGAAAAGTAGTGATAAATTATCACAATGTGAAATGAAACAACAAGATGCATCTACAAGAGCAATGTCGATAAGCCCCACCAACATTCTTTCTAATACAACCGCACATTATCTAGGAACGGGGTGGGGTGGGGTGGGGTGGGGTGCGGGTAAACGTGCGAGTTTCGATGAAACCAAGGAGGATGCCATTATTAAGTTGGTAGATAATTGATAAAAAACAGATATGGAACCAGATACTCGCTGTTAAACTCGATATTAAAAAGGACGTCATTACTTCCAACAAGAACATATATTTCTTATTGATATGCTATCATACTGAAATCGAAGCGTTGGTCTACTTAAAGTAAAGCATTTATACGAGCTTTAGCTGAACTCCCCGAAAAGTCTTTACAAGTTATATAATGAGTATTGAAACTCGAACGGTTATATTCCACTAGCGGACTGGACAAGTTCAGAGCTTCATATAGTTACTTCATATAATTACTTTATAGTGGTTTCTGAAATCCCCCCCCCCCTTTCACACACATAATTAACGTGTTATATTCACTAAAATTTTATAATGTACTTAATAAAACCTGAAGACACTAGAGAAATAGCAGACAGATAGCTTATGATTTGATGTACATCAGAATGAAGTAAAAGTGGTTGAATTTTTTAACTGGGGGTATTTGTTTGTTTATTTATTTTTGTGCCGTAAACATAGAAGTACTTGTACTTTATCTACTTTAATGTACATGTATGTTTTAGCCTTTGATATACAGGTTGTAGTAAATCGACAGAATTCCATACCTCTGTAGACCCAGTAAACGCAATCTTATTGATATCTGGATGATTTGTAATGGCTGCACCAGCAGTTGGACCATAACCTGGTATTACATTTACTACACCTGGTGGAAATCCAGCCTGAAAAATAAATAACATATTCACTGGTAATAAAATGTCACCAGTCCACTTATTCAGGTTTCTGATCGAATGTTATTAATATTAAACAAAAACAGCGTGGGGATGTAAACACAGGTTCACAAATAGAGGTGGGTGTCACGGGGTATTCTTTCTTGAACGCCATAATAGACGACGTGTCATTTATTCGGAAGTTCAAGTAGCAAAATATATTCGCTGTACTGCAGTGGTGTTTAAGGTCCACTCCACAAAAAATATGTCATTAGGGGGCGAACATATAGTTAAACTTGTTTTCTATAATTCGAATGCTTGCAGGGTCTTCAGCAGAGAAAACCCCTTAAAACAGCCCCTTGGTAAACCTCATTTTCAAAAAGGGAGCCACGGTGGTTCACTAAGTAATGCGTACCAATAAGGGGGTCCCAATTAAGTTTTGATTGAGAAAGTTCCTCTGGATTTTTCTGCCTCGTTGCCATTACTTGTAAGTGGTGCAGGACAGAGTGCCTGACAAGATAAATAATTCACCCAGTCGTTTGACTGACCGGAAGTCGCATGTATATGCTGGCGTGCAGACAAGAATAGGTCGAAACGCTGCTGTACGAGCAAAGTTTCTTTCAGAGCACATTGCATGGTATAGGCCTGGCTTCATCAGCCCATTTATGGAGATAAATTTGACTTTAGGTTAAGCCCCATTTCAGTTCATTTCCTTACATATCCTCCAATAACAACAATTACATGTGGTGGACGTTTATTAAGTATTAAATATTTGTTGTCATCCCCATGTTGTAGTGTATATCACTTTTTACTACAATATTTAACAGTGTGTGCCAAAAGACTTGCATTATTTTAAGGACAGGCCAGATTGGCCGATTCTAGATTTTCGACGAATCACAGTCTAGTTTCCCCAAGTGGTTTCTATTAATGTGGTTAGATCAAACCAGATGTTACAGTTGATAATTATGTTATGATCATTGGATTAAAGCACCCCAAAGTTATCCGATTTTCCAAAGTTCATAATAATCAGTCAAATTATGTTAGATATATAGTATTTATATACCTCTTTTATCAGTGAAGCTATATAAAGTGCATTGAGAGGTGTCTGTTCCGCTGGTTTTAGAACTACAACATTTCCACACGCTAAAGCTGGTCCAATCTTCCACATCATCATTGGCATTGGAAAATTCCACTGAAAAGTAAATACGATTCTATAAACCCATACGCCCATAGAAGTTGATTTGTTTGATTTATCCTACTCTTGGGCTAAACACTCAAAAGATTGAAAAATCAACAAATGTATTTTTATTGCTAAAAGCCAAAATGTAAACATGGTCACATCTATTTTTCGTTTGGTCTTTATGGTTCTGATTTGAGAGAGAGAGAGAGAGAGAGAGAGAGAGAGATAGGTTATAGTCAATCGACTCTACTCCTTGTCGGGTATGAGTGCGAGATCGCAACAACCCGTTAGATCATTCATACTTCTTTACACTTTTCAAACCACTTGTATCCTATATAATTACTTACTGGTATAATCTGACCACATATTCCTACTGGTTCACGTCTGGTATAACAAAAGAAATTACCATCTGTAATATAAACGATAACCCCTAATCGCATCAACTCTTTATATAATATGCATAATTCATAAACATGTCAGTTACCATCGGTTTCTTTAAATTGTTTATTCATAAAGGCGAGTGTAAGACTTGGTTAAACTTGGCGTTTATAACACAAAATATACGGATGAAAAAAGACAGAAAATGGGTTTAATTATAATTGGTTGAAACTTGGTGTTTAGAAGACAAAATAATTGTTTAAATATAAGCTTGAAAAAAGAGAGAAAATGGGGTTTATTTCGGGGCTAACACATGGTTCAATTTCAATAATTCGCTTGCGCGTCGAAGGGGGGGGGGGGGAGGGCGACTTTAGCTGTGGGAGAAAACAGATAGACCCGGGGAAAAACCAACATGGTGGACAGACTCCTTGTCACCTACAAGTGTGGGCTCGAACCCTCTCCACTTGATAAAAAGCTAAAGCGCTGAACGGACATTGTACGGACAAGATGTAATCTTCCAAACATGCATAATATGACGTCTGTAAGTAGAGTATAATAGGTAACCGTAAACGGTAGAGTCTGTTAGGTAGTGTATAATTGGCAACTGTGCACTCACAGTTGCGTATCCACTAAATGACAGTCAGCTATTGACATTTATGGATGACAAAACGGCTCAAATTTATCATGTTAGCTGCATCATCCTGGGGACATGTGAAAATGTCAAGCATTGGCAAAAAATGTTGGATTTGACGATAAAATCGTAAATGCAGGATGGTGTGGTTAAAATAAAATCTAACCCGTTTCGTCTTCCATAGAAATCCGACGACCTGTACAAGGTCAGCTTTACTTGGTAATTTAGGCTGCATTGCCGTGGTTAATAAAACCATAACCATATTGTATTTTACCTATTGGTATTGTTTTGCCCTGTATTTTGTCACACCAACCAGCATAATATCTTAAAACACCACTACTACCAAATAAATCCACATATACAGATTCTTTAAATATTTTACCATTATCAAACGTCTCTAAACTCTACAATAAAATTGATTATACAATCAAAGCATTCATTGTCCGTTAATATAAATGGAAAATAGTTAACTGATATCGATTACCGATATTACATATTAACGCCATTAACGGAATCGTTATCCATAAATAGTGTTTTTTGGGCTTTTTTATGATCCATTTACTAAATGGCATTCAAAGAATATATTAACACCAACTTTACTGTAAATGTTTGACTCATGCCCCGTGTTCCTCTTCACAAACGGAATAATAAATAATATGGTTATCTATATATTATTATGGTAATATACTTTGGACAGTTGATTACACTTGCTATCTATATACACATATAACTATAAAATACATGGAAAGAGCCACGGTGGCTCTGTAAGTAAGGCTTGGTTCGCTCACATAGAGGCACGGGGTTCGATCCCGTCGGGGTTTCCACCCTTGTGAGTGGTGCAGGACGGAAGGCCTGGCAAGGAACCGTGAGTCGTTTCAATGGGACACAAAATCGAGGTAGTGTGTATACGATAGCGTGCACTTTAAAGAACCCTTGGCAAATGGAATTCAATGAAGAATAGGTCGTAGCAACATTGTCCTGGCATAATTTCATTAGTCCGGACTGTGTAGAAAAGTAGGATGTTAAACCCTCATTTTATTTGCAATAGGGCCTATGGAAGTGTGATATTAGCCTCCAATGTGAATTACTCATTTGCGTACTGTGATATCCCTGTTTTTGTATAGGTATTTATATAAACTCTCAGTGGATTCAAAATAAAATGACAAACGACTAATGACGTAAGTGAATGACTTACCGATAAATAAACTGCGTCTCTGTCTATCAAATCGGCCAATTTTAGCAGAAGTCGACCACGGCCACTGGCATCCATTTGTTGCCATGGTGACCCAAATTCGAACGCTGCTTTGGCTGCATTCACTGCTTTATCAACATCCGCCTTTAATTTAAAAATGTGATGCTTTTTATGGACGTGCAATTAAAAACTGATGCGTTAGCCTCGAGAAAACTATGACTTGCCACCTCGGCGGCAAAGTAATCGGTAATTTGGATGGATCTAGTCACATATTCCTTCGTATTATTATGCAAATAACTAGTTAACTTTAATGTCGAATGACCACCCAAAGTGTAGCAATACCCAGGGAACTCTTCTGACATATTTTAAGTGGATCAAGTGTTGTACATACATGTATATATTATAACATATTATTATAATATTAATAATAATTATTATTTATGTATATAATTATTATTATGTTTTCATGATGTGTTTTAAAATTACATCTGTTATCAGTAATAAAGTAAATGTCTATAACACTGTGTCTGTTTTACTTTGAAATTGCCTCAAGCATGCTCACTCAGTAATGAGACCAACTCACTATTAAGACCATATCTAGACAGCATCACAGGTGGTCTTAATAGAGGGATTTCACTGTATTTATATTGTGACGTTGCTAGCCAAAAAAATACGCCCACCAGTAGTTTCGTAAAAGGGTGACACGGGCAATATGTTCTTATGTTTGTCAAAATTTAATGAGCAGTAATTCCACCTCCAAATTGTGATTACATCACTACATAAACCAGCCTGTTATCGCAATTGCTACTCCTTATAACTAGTCTAACAAGCCCAGCAAATTTGAAAAAAAAAAAATTTAATATCGGTTGATATCGAACGAAACATACGCCTACAACATCTAATTCGTCCTATCAGTCCATAAAATTTGTCATATTTGTATTCTTTTGTGGGTAATCAGAACACTTATCCTTAGACTTCAAGTCAATAGGATGATAACTAGGAAAGTAATTATAGGAAATCAATAGGAGTTGCGTGTATAAAAACACTGTGTATAAAGTGCACTTTATCGGATAAGCTAATGACTCAACATACAATCGATGTTCGACTCTGAATTTCGATGGGTTGCTCGTTATGACCCATGTAGCGGTTACAAGTATCCGTGACAATGGAAATAGCTTTGTGACTTACGATTTTCTCTTGCGAAAAGTCGACAAATCTTGGCAAGTAGCAAAAATTTCATTTATTTTTTTTCTGTTACACCAGAACTTAAGGATGCGTCCGTCATTTGCATTTTCGCTAAAACATAAAATTTCTCACAGCTTAATCCACGCTAAATATGTACTGGGGTTGATTATGTAACATTTAATTTAGAAAACGAATTCAAAATATCAACGCTTGATAATCCCCCGGCTTGGATTCAATCTGATTTACACCTGGCCCAACAGGTACATCCGCTACCAATGCGAGCCTAGCATACATAAATCGATGAAATTTCAATTCATCATAACTTTATTCAATGGCTGGGATAGCAGGAAAACGCGCTTCCAATTTTTCTCAAGGGGCGTGGGGGGGCCTACACGGTACGCCCCGCTCCTTCGCCTCTCGCAGACGACCGACATCGCCATCTGCAACACGAATTGTTTTCGGGCATTTCAGGTTCTGCCCCGCCCCCAACATTCATCGAGCCCGTACGCCTATGCATCACGGGACCATTTTATGTATATTTGTTTCTGATATTTCTAGATTTATATGGTTATTAAAAAATTCAAAAGCCAAGTCATAATCCAAATGTATAAATAATGAATTACACCAACCATATATGCAGTGGCGGCGTCAGCCGCCGGTGGTTGGAGGGGCAAAGCTGGGGCAAAGTCCAAGGTTAAGGGGGCAAAGGCACGCGCTTCAACTACGGGTAGGGGGGCCTTCCCCAGAAATATTAGAAAAACAGGCTGCCGGAAATGTAGCCTGGTAGTATTTCAGGCACTAATCGTTGAGATAAAGTGTCAAACGACCGAACCTCAACGAAGCCCACTCACGAGCGCCAAAGTAGGGAATCCTTACGGGGGTATGGGGGACCTCCACAGAAAATTTTGAAAAATAGACTGTCGGAAATGCTGTCTGACAGTATTTAGGCACCGATTGTCGAGATAAATAGAGCTGATCAGATACCATCTGTCGTCTGATCACTAGTCTATCCGACCCCAGAGAGGAAAGTGTCAAATGAACGGACTTGCGAACCTCAACGAAGCCCACGAAAATTTGAAAAGTAGACTGCCGGAATTGCAGTCTGGCAGTATTTCAGGCACTGATCGTCGAGATAAATAGAGCTTACCAGATACCGCCTGTCGCCAAATCACTAGTTTATCCGACCAGAGCGGAAAATGTCAAATGGACGGAGTGAGTGAATCAAAGTGACTGAATATTTTCGCCACGATATTTTGTGAAATAGACTGCCGGAAATGCAGCCGGGCAGTATTTCAGAAATAGAGCTGACCAGATATGTTCGTCGCCAAATCACCAGCTTATCCGAACAGAGAGGGAAATGTCAAACGAACGGAGTGAAGGCATATTCTCGCCGCTTTGAACCTATATACCCCAAAACTTTGATGATCGTAAAAAACACTTCTCAAATAGTTCACGTGTTATTGTTTATAGTAGGTTTACAGCAGGATGGGCTTGGTAAGAAATCACTCAGACTCTACAACATGCAAGTCTATGACTGAGTGGGGATGTGGGATTTAATCACCGTAGAAGGTATTGATTACCGAAACGTATCACAAGTATTTTTTTTTATTTTCCAAAATTATTGGGGGGGGGGGGGGGCAAAAAGAGGGCAGACCAGATTAAATTTTATGGGGGGGGGGGAATCCCCCCCCCCCCTTGACTCCCACCCCCCCCTTGACGCCGCCACTGCATATATTTATCGTTGATGTTATACATACGTATACAATTTCACACACCGTCTTCTTTATATTATATATTGTTATTAACATACTTATTCAACAAGGGAGTTACTCAAATATCTATTTTATTTTTACACATGTGACGGCGTTCAGTAGAAAAAACGGTCTGACTATTCATTTCATTCGTGCAAACCAGTGAGGTGTTACGATAGAAATAGAAGATGTTAATACAACCATCTTAATGCTAGGTACCCATATCACGATTCGCGCCAGGTAAACGCGTCTGCGGCCGTCAAATTGCCCAAATTTCCTTTGGGTAGGGTGGGGGATGGGGGTCCTACACGGTAAGCTCCGCTCCGTCGCCTCTCTCGCAGACGTCTGGCACCGCCGTCTGCAACCCGAAATATTTTCGGGCCTTTTGGGTTCTGCCCCCCGCCCCCGCCAAACTTCATCGAGTCCGTACGCCTGTGCTGTGATAGGCAAATGCATTCCCTTCGTTCTCTTTCAATCGATGATCTTATCTTAATTATTTCAATGAAAGCCCAAAGCTAAATTAGTAAAAAAATCGAACGACGAGAAAGATACAGCTGACAGCAATGTACTCCCACATAATACTCTAACCTCCCATTTCCAGAAATAATACAGAGAGAAATGTAAATCTCCTTCATAAATACACATTCACAATCTTACCTTATCTCCTTCAGACACGTCTGCTATTTTCTGTTCGGTTGATGGATTATAAACTGGGAAGGTTTTACCACCGACAGCATCAACAAACTCATTATTTATAAACAACTAAAGGAAAACAAAATACATGTATTAAAAATTGTAACCGTGTATACAGTGACCATCCGGGTTATCATCCTATGGATTACCAAATTTAACAATATTATTAATGATTTGTGAAACATAAAGTTGATTTTCTTCATGAAATGTTGATACTGTCATTGAGTCAACTGGCGTGGTTTCGATTCCCCCGTTGTACGTGACAAGGAGTAGGGTCGCCTGTCCAACCTCCTGGGGTTTCTCCGTGTCCTTCGGTTATGTCGAGTGGACATTAAATCCCAGCTCTCTCTCTCTCTCTCTCTCTCTCTCTCTCTCTCTCATATAAAGGAACATTATCGCGATAAATATATGGACACCCTCTCTCTCTCTCTCTCTGTCTCTCTCTCTTACGCCGTCTCTCTCCCTTTCCCTATTTCCCCGTTTAGCATGGCCATTTTTGTTGACTTTTTGGTGTAGAATCGAAAAGAAATGGGTTTGAAAATACTTTTTTGACCAGGTTTTGGTGAATATTCATTATTTGGAGGCGGAGGGGTACGAGAGTTGAGAGGTTGGTTAGGTTAAAATGTGGGGCAGAAAATTGCATGTTTAGTGATCTTTACTTCCAGTTTGTGTATTTCAAGTTTTCCACGGTGAACCCCACACGTGCTTTTGCGCTTGAGGTGGCCACATGTTGCCCCAACTGTGGTAGAAAGCGTTCTACCCAATGAAAATTTTGGGAAAAGTTAGAGCCGGTCTAAGAGACGAGAATTAACATTAAGTCAATGGGGAAATCATTAGTGATCTGTATCCATATGGGTTTTTATTGGCGCTATGAATATGTTTGCTAACTTCATTTTGAATGCGGGTGCTGCAATTCCGCTCGGTTTCCTTTAAAAGAAATAAAATGTTATCAAATTGTACTTGCCTGTGTATATTTGATCTCTGGCTGTCTTATTGGTGGAAATGGTGCAGGTGGAAGGGCCATTCTGTTAGCACACAACAGCTGACAGCAGAAGTCTAACACGCAATAAGAAATAAAATATTGACAATGTCGGTCCTAATCACGTGACTAAATCTACTCATTTATAACCCACCGTGATCAAGCAAAATCCATAGGCCTACCAGTCGTGATATCGGATTTTTAACGAGACACAGTGACACGACTATAGTTCATTGAGGAACGGTGTCTGACCGAACTATGTCCTCTCGCCGTTCCTGTCCGTCTGTATTCAAATGCAATATGAAAATAACGCTTTACCCCACTTCGGTTCTAACTCTAAGGATATTTTGGAATCCTTAGCTAGACTACCGTCTATTTTTCACCGTGATTCTTCTTTGTTCGCCAAAAGGAACCATTTCTCGCCACATCTGACACAAATTTATAATAATCCAACACTATTTTATATTGGTAATAGGCGCATTATAAATAAATTATTATTAGTTATTTATGGGGCGCCGTTTGTAAATTAATTATTTAGCTTTTTATATAGCAAAAAACACTAGATTTAATTTAAATTTATATATATATTTAAATCTCGACTTTTGTGCACATTTTTCACTTTTAATATTTAAACTAAAAATACAACAAAAACTCAATATTTAACATAATATATATAAATATTTCTTGATTTGTCTCTATTTTCATATTTAACATTTAGCATTGAATATTAAGACCAAAACAAGAGATTTGATGATATATAAATATTTAGCTAAATATTTAGTTAAATTTTTAAACATTTAGTTAAATATATATTTAGTTAAATGTTAAAATATTTAGTTAAACATTTATATATTTAGTTAAACATTTATATATTTAGCTAAATAATATATATTTAGCTAAATAATATATATTTAGCTAAATAATATATATTTAGCTAAATAATATATATTTAGCTAAATAATATAATAATTGCTAGTAGGCCTATTGTGCCAAGGCTCACGTGTCGGGTACACGTCATCATTTTATGCGCAGTTTTTTGTGTCGCTTACGATAATAGAAATATTGGCGGGACCACAAATATATATTTAGTTAAATATTTCTACATTTAGCTAAACATATATATTTAGCATGATATTTATATATTTAGTTAACTGTTTATATATTTAACTAAATATATATATTTAGTTAAATGTTTATATATTTAGTTAAATGTTTATATATTTAGTTAAATGTTTATATATTTAGTTAAATGTTTATATATTTAACTAAATATATATATTTAGCTAAATGTTTATATATTTAGCTAAATGTTTATATATTTAGCTAAATGTTTATATATTTAGCTTAAATATTTAACTTTAGATTTTTCAATGATTTAGCATTTATACCTACGAAAAACAGCACTCTTAGCTATATATTTAACTAAGCGATGTGAAATCAAGATATAACATTTAAAGTTTTTCATAGACCAAAAACTCGACTTTTAGCTACAATATTTTTTGATATTTACATATATGCCATTTTTGTTCTAATATTTATCTAAATATATATATTCGGCGTTAAATCTAATGTTTTTTGCTATAAAAAAATTAAATAATTATTTTACAAACGGCGCCCCATAGTTATTAGGCTATTATAATATTACAAATTTAGAGGTGGGGTAAAGCGTTATTTTCACGTAGCAGCTTAACAGAGACGGACAGGAACCATGAAGGCACATAGTTCGATCAGACACCGTTCCTAAGAGAAGAATTAATGCGACTACAGGTCGCAGTAATTATCAACTGACTTCCCTGAAACTTACAACTATGATAGCATTAATGATAAATCAAAGATGGCAACATTTCGGTCAATTCTGGTCAGCGGTTTTGGAGATATCAGGTAACCACATATTTTATGTGTCACGACTGCAGACCGCAACAAATTTAACCGATTCCCACGAAACTTGCAGAATATGATAACATTAATAATAGGTAACTTCCGGTCAGCGGTCCGGAGGCATCAGGCCACCACACATTTCATGTGGCATGGCTCATTAAAAACTATAGCCTATATCGCGCTCACAAGGTTTTCGGAACGGGGGTGGGGGGTGGGGCATCCTCTCATGACCCCAATAATTCACACCAGATTTGAAACACATCTATGGAAAACTGTATAGCCCCCATTGCTTTCACATGGAGCAGGGTTGGGAGGCCGATTGGTCTATAACGTGCGATTTAGATTATAAGGGCTGTCATTGAGTCAAGTGGTCTGGTTTCGATTCTCTGCTTGTACGTGACAAGGAATAGGGTCGCCCGTCCAGCCACGTGGGTTTTCTCTGGGTCCTCCGGTTTCCGCCCTCTGCTAAAGACCAGTACGCGCAAGCGAATTATTGGAATAAAATAGAACCATATGTTAGTCCTGAAAAGACCTAGTTTGTGTCACGCGGGCGTTCCCTCCCTCCCTCACCTCCCCCCATTCCCTCTCTCTCTCTCCCTCTCTCAATCTCTCTTTCTCCTCTACCTGATTCTCTCTCTACTCCAATGCTTCACACCAAATGCTAAAAACATTGCGCGAGAAATCAACAACATGATGGGTATAATTGCTTTTTAAGTTTTATTATTTTAATTTGTTCATCATAATAACTTCCACTTTGTTTCATTTATTTTTTCTAGTGTTTACAGTCACATACACATTATAATAATACACACAGAGACACAAATAATGTCTAGAGGACAGAAGCAGAATGTTAAAACAGTTAGTGTCTCGGTTTAGGAATTCTTCTGTGGAATCTTTATCACCACCTTAAAAACAAATATTTAAAACAATTATAGGATCTATAAAACACTGTAATTTCCTTCTTTCAACAGATTTGTCCCGCATAAACTAAATCACGTTATCCAGTTTCACATAGGGGAATAATTGAATTGGTGAACGATGTGTTTTCAGATTATCTTCAGGTCATGAGCCCATGCTATTATCTAAACACCTCTAAACAGTAAACTGCCACCGTGTTTTAATTGACGCTCAGGGTATAATCAAACTGAAGTATTAGAGTAGATAAATTCCTCTCAAGAAAGGCGTGTTAATATGTTCATAAGTAAATTAAAAAAAAACATACATTTTTAACCTCGAGATATTCTTCCAAACCATATTCACCTCTGAAATATTTAAATAACATAATATGAATGGTACATTATTTTATTTAAATAACATTTAAATAACTTTCGGGGGGGGGGGGTATATTTTCCCTGGCCTTTTTTCCCATTTTCTTGACAGTTGTTGACAGTTTTGTCTAGAATGGAAGAAGAGTGCTTAAATTTACATTTCCTACTTGGTTTTTGTGAATATTTATGATTATGAGGCAGAATGATCAGGAAGTTAACGGGCATTATAAGATTAAGATAATAGAAAAGTCCCAAGAATGTCGTGCAGGGCCCCAGAGAGGAAAAATATGTGCTGGGGCTAGACCATTTTTGTCCCCCAGCCCTTTACGACACTAGTTATATCTAGATGATTCAGTTGCAATATCTGAGCCTCGATCGGTATATAACCTGTTATCTGAAACATTGATATAACAACGAGGTATGTAAGAAAAAATAATAATCGTAGAGCATTTTAATGGGAGATAACTTTTGCGATCTGCAAATTTTAAAGATATTGGTAAAAAAAATTATCACTCGTCAATTTCAGATTATGATATAATTAAGTGTTCAAAATTATTCTTTAATTCACAAGTACTGCAAGGGATGGCATAAAAATGTGGGGCATAAAGACGTGGGACAAAATTCCCAAGTTAAAATGGGGGTGGGAACAATTACCCCGATGACCCGACAACCCGACAGCGCAACATCACGACATGATTATCAGCCACCATAGTGCACAAACCAACCAAGATATTCTGCAGAGTCTTCAGATCAAAACAACTAGACCGACGAACACGTGTGACAACAAGTTTCAATATTAGATTTGGTCTTAAAAAATTATTATATACTTACAGTTCTCTACCCATACCAGACATTTTAAATCCACCAAACGGGCCTTGTGGTGATACAGCCAAATTACAGTTCACCCTGTAAGATACATTTAAGGTTTTTTAAAAGGTCTTTTGATATCCACGAAGGCAATGGATTCTAGAGGTACACAGTTAAAAATATTAAGGTAGTTTACACCAATTCGGGTGGAAACCAGTTGCCACCTAAATAGGGGTAACTCCTAGCCTTTAGTGGTGTAAACCGATAACACCCATCCAGTGTAAAGCATTACACCAATTCAGGTGGAAACTAGTTGCCGCTTCCAGTAGTGTAACCTGCCTGGTGCACTCAGACAGTGTAATGTTACACCCGTGGGTGTAGATTATGCATTAGCCCCCAAGGATGGGTTGTAAATTATACTTCCATTTTAATTAATACACCAACGCGGTTGTAATTTGTTTTTGTTGGATATTTATTTCAAGACAACGACTTTTTAGTTCAGAAAACTTGAAATTGGCTATCGGTCTCTATGATAATTTGTATAGGGCTTTTTAGCCCGACCCAGATTACATATAGACCGTCGGCTACTTCGCTTCATTTTACTATAATATTAAATTGACAAATACCCATCAGGCTAATTCAAATTCAACTGCTGTTGGGCAATTAGACAATCTGTATCAATTTACAATAAATATAAATCATGAGGAAAATCAATACACATATCCTTACAACTTAGCTCAATAATGTGGTTTATTCATTTATGCACCTTACCTTAATTAAGAATTATTAACTAAGATATTGTACTTGGTAATATTTTGGAACCTTTACACGCCTTTAAGTGTATACAAGCTAAAATAATCTATACTTTACTCGTTGAGTAAACACTCTAAAATGAGTTACAGTTGTGTTACTAGGGCAAACAACGCCATATTTTATAAAAAAAAACAAACGCTCAAATTTGAGTACACAAATACATTTGTAACGCAAGATACGGTATAAAATTGGCACATTATTCGGAGGAATGTTTCCCTACAATAATTACACATGTTGGTTTAAATTCAATAAAACGCTTGCAGAGGGGAAGCTCGTCCCAAACACCCGGTAGAGGCTACAATTACACCTATCCTGGTGTTCAGTACTCATGAATATCGATTACACTTTTGCAACCCAATAAACTATGTAAAATTAACCATGTTCTATG